CCAAACAACTTCTACACTAAAATAGATATAAGAAAAAATTAATAATATTAATTATTATGTAATTATAATCTAATTAAAAATTCATAATTCCCCTCCTCCTCCTTCCCCCTCCCTTCCTTCCTTTCCTTGCACCCCAATTGGTAAGCCGAAACAGTGAATTTACGCTCACGTTTTGCACCCCCCTACTGTTACAAAATAACCAAACGGGGGTAAACACCTTGGAACTTGTGTTTACCCCTCCAAACTTGCACCCCCTACCATTTGCTCCCCTTCCCAAACATAGTGTAAACGATCTCATGATGAAACATGCAACAATTGGATGTGACTTGTGAGCTATGAGTTTACGAGTTTAACAGGTCGTGATGATACAATTATCAATTTTCTAGAAATGTCAAATATGAAAAAAATCGTATTAAATTATTATAATTTAGTGTATAGGCTTGTTTGAATAATAATAGGGTTGTTAAGTGTTAGATAGTAATGCACAAAAAATAGTTAAGAAAATCCAAACATTGTAAAACCATAATTCCACCCTACCAATATAATCTTTGACATTTTATTGTGGAGTTAATAGTATAAATTGCCACTATATTGTTCATTTTTCTCAAATTATCCCTCTACTATTTTTCACATCAAACATACCCTCGTACTATGTACTATATACGTATTATCAAACATGTCATTGGTTACATTTTTTTATAAAATTATGTTAATTGAGATCGAATCACTGTTGGACCGGTAGGAAATAACAAATAAAATTTACCCCCTTTTATGGCTTATCTTACTCGTCTGTAACTCCGAATAATTAATAGACACAATACCATCCTCTATCCGTTCTGCTTTCTCTTCCTCTGACCCAACAATATGTAAACGCAATTACTTGTCTGTCATGAAAGAAGCTTAGAGACCGACATTTGAATTTCAACCAAACTCTTTGAAAGTCTTCAATTATTTATTGATTTGACTCAATTATCAAAATTGGAACCCAATTTTTTTTAATATATGGATTTCTAAGTATCAAAGATTTTCAACCTAGTTTAGCCGTTGGCCCGATTGATTAAGTGAGTTGAGGGTTAATGGTCCAAATATATTAGTCCGCTTTTGCGTGGATTTATGAAAAATGTCATTATGTTGTTCGTACATTTATAAATAGGCTAAACTACACATTTGATCACTCAAATTATACAAATCTTTCACGTTTGCCACTCGAATCCTGATCCACTACAACCGCTGGTTCTCTCGTCTTCATTCTCGCCTCCTGCGGAGTCAACCATCTTGCCTCAGGAGTTCTTCAAAATCGACGCCCTCGCTTGTTGGGCAAGCTCCTGCGCAGAGACGACGTCATTTTTCAAATTATCGAGGTTATTCTATTTTATTGATCGGCAATTCCATCCCCAACTGTTGGGTGTCAGGGGTTTCATTGCATTAGAATTGATTATTATTGCTATAACAGGTAGATACTTACAGACCTAATGATTCTGCCTGCCAAACCCTAAACCTTCATTAGTAATCAATAAGATTCTTTTATTACTCCCAAACCCTAAACCGTCGTTCCTTCCAAATAACAATCTTCAACCTCGACCTATCCGATTCTACTACAACACTGTCTTAGAGGCCAAATCGTATTTGCCTCCACTAATAACAATTGTTCGCATCATCAAAATACGCGTGATAAGCTCCAGAAACTCCTCGTTACGACTCCTAGAGCCCCCACAAACCACGACGAAAATTGTGGCACTATTCATCAATTTTTGCCTGGGATGTCTAATCAAGAAACAGTGAATTCCACCATGTTTGTATTCACATTTTAGTAGATCGGTGAGTGTTTCAATAATTTTATAAGAAAAAATAGAATTAACTTGACTCATTCACTTAAATTATAATTGTGAAAAGATGCTCTAGTTATTTACTAAGAAATTTTGGTACACTACTTCAAATCATTTGTATCCACATTTTAAGAGATCCATAAGGGTTTCAATAATTTTTTACACAATTCTTTCCAATCTCTGGCGTATCAACGGCTAAAATAGACACGTAATTCAACATTATATACATGCACCACTAATTGCTTAATATACAGCCTGTAAAGTGTAAATCACTACATGCACCACTAATTGCTCAACATGACCGATGCTTGCTTTCCTTTTTTTATGTAATTAAGTGTTTCGGTTGTCAATTAGACGTGAGTAATAAGGAAATCTGACAATTTGTGGAATAATGGTTATGTATTTTAAATAAGGAAAATATTTTCTGTTATTAATTATGTAAATATACTCATAGTCCATCAATTACTTCAATCATATAAGTTTATTTTGTTAGTTTCATTGTTTCCGCCCATATAATAGAAAATAATTACAATGATTAGATTAGAAATTTCAAAATCATTGCATACAAAAATAGCAGTTATCACAAATCATAATTTAACAAAAATATTTAATTAACTTATTAATAATTTTGAAAAAAGGTTCGACGGTGGACCCCGTCCGACCGGCGGCGACGGACCCCGTCCGACCGGCGGCGACGGACCCCGTCCGACCGCCGTCGTCGGACTGTGACTTCCCGTCCATTCTCCTGCTTCGGAACTTGCCTCACCGCTCGGTTGATGGCAGTGGTGGCTTGATTACCGTTTTGCGCGGCTGGTCGACGACTAGATCAGAATAGGGAGGAAGGTAGGAAACGACGGCCGTTTTCGGGAAATCTATTTTTTCAATTTTTGGCAAACATCATTTCAGAAGATAAGGGAAAAATTATCATTTTGTTTTAAATTGTGGGCGGTAAATAGTAATTTATAGGGCAGCAAATAGCGATTCATTCTAACTATCCTTGCTAAAGTTGACAATTCTATTCCCAAAATGATGAGAAACCAATTTAAAAAAATTCCAAATAACCACCCCATCCTCTCGAATGCCATGTCCCAAACAACTTCCATAGAACCCTTATCTCATCGCATTGCTACCACCTTTCCCGGGGATCGCCTTCCTGAATCGGCGACGCGACTTCATACCGGCTCCGTGACCACCATCACCTCTCTTCCAGTTAATTCAGTCGCCAACCGGCTTCGTGACCACCATCACTTCTCTACCTCTTGTCACGGTTAGGTTTTATTTATGTTGCACGAGAAACGGGGAAAAAATCCCAAGTTACACATGTTTTTAAAAAAAATTCTCAAAATACACATGTTATGAAAATAATTCCCAATCTACACATGTTTGGGCCTTCACCGCGTCAGAGAAGGGCGGTGATTGCTTCACCGCGTGAGAGCAAAACGGTGATTGCTTCACCGCGGGAGAGCAAAACGGTGAAGCACTGACCTGCGTCCAAACTTTAAAACAACGTAACTTTGTGCTCGGTTATCCGATCGTAGCGAATTTTTTTTTGATTCCGCATAATTTTTCGAGATCTTGCAAGCCGTCAACAGCCGGAGGCGGTTTGGTCCCGCCTTCGTCTCGAAAAAATGTCGTTTGCTACCCCGAACGAGCCTTTTTTCGATTTCGTCAAACTTTGAACGACCATAACTTTATGCTCCACAATCCAAAAATCATGAATTTTTTTTTTGATTCCGCATAACTTTTTAAGGACTACAATTTTTAGTTAGAGAGAATTTTCAAAAAATGAATTATTTATGGATATAAGGGGTTTTGGGAATAACTTTACCTTCCCTTTTCAGGAATCCAAGTACATTCCGAAATTATGTCTCCTACTAAAAATTGTAGTCCTTAAAAAGTTATGCGGAATCAAAAAAAAATTCATGATTTTTGGATTGTGGAGCACAAAGTTATGGTCGTTCAAAGTTTGACGAAATCGAAAAAAGGCTCGTTCGGGGTAGCAAACGACATTTTTTCGAGACGAAGGCGGGACCAAACCGCCTCCGGCGTTTGCGGCTTGCAAGATCTCGATAAATTATGCGGAATAAAAAAAAAATTCGCTACGATCGGATAACCGAGCACAAAGTTACGTTGTTTTAAAGTTTGGACGCAGTTCAGTGCTTCACCGTTTTTCTCTCACGCGGTGAAGCAATCACCGTTTTAGTTTGAAACGGTGAATACATCACCGTTTTAGTAAAAAACGGTGAATACATCACCGTTTTAGTCAAAAGCGGTGATGACCTTCACCGCTTTTGTCTAAAACGGTGATGCTCAAACATGTGTACTTTTGGAATTTTTTTTATAACTTATGTATTTTGGGAATTTTTTTTAAGAACTAGTGTACTTTGGGATTTTTTCCCGAGAAACGGAGTGGTGGGAAGGCTTTGTGGGGTAATTTTTTTGCGTGAGTGAAGGGGAATTGAGAGAAGCTCGGCCCTTTGGTCCATTATATATATACTAGTGTGGGCCCCGGCCAGTTGGCCGGAGTAAGGTGAGGTTTGAAATTTGATAATGTAATGGGGTGTATAGCTTATTGTTGTATATTTTTTTTGGGAAACTCGTGATAAAAATAGTGAATTTTAGCAGGAAAGAGACATGAATGATGCAATGAATCAAAAATCGGCCTTATGAACCAAAATCAAATACATGTTACCTTGTGAAACAATATTGTTTCTGGTAATATGATGAGGTGGAGTAAATTTAATAGAAACCGAATTCCAGAAAATTGAACAAAAAATCGCCTATCCCTTCGGTTTTCGGGAAATGAGCATCTCATAATCGTTGCTAGCTTTAACTCGACCTGTTGGTCGATTAATTTGCTTTATAAAACTTTCAACTTGTCGTCATTGTGCTTTCTGATTTTTGTTAGGCCATGATAAAATCTAACGAAATCAAGAACGAATAACACGATTTGGGATAGGAACCGTCATTGTCGTATCCCTAGTATGGACCCGGCAATTTGGCCGGATGAATTTAAATTGATTAATCGAATGTTGTCTATAATATATTTCGATTTTCCTGAATTTTTATGTTATTAAGTTATTATTCATTATTTATAATGTATTATTTTTTATGTTTGATGTATAATTTGTACATGTTAATATACACTTATTAGTCCTAAATCTATTATACTCAATCAAGAGAATAAAGACTCAAACTCAACCAATTATTTTTAGTACTTCACATCTAGTCTATACTACTTATAATCTATCTATAGTATCATTTATAGCTGAAACTGAAAACTGCACCCACCATTCAAAAATCCTTGGTCTTAGAGTGAATTTCGGATGCTGAGGTGGATGCCCATTTAGGCGGGATTTTCCCCCCTTTTCCCCCTCTGTCGTCATCGACTGCAACCGGCCGGCATCACTCTTCCTCTTCCCTTCCGGCATCAAAGTATACTATGATTTCCTATAATCGCCTCTTTTGTCGACTGCAACCGGCCATCGCTGCGTTCCGCTCTCTCCGTTCCGGCCAGTGAATTTTGGTGCGGCTCTTCGTTTCTTCGTAGAGGGCGAGCGTATCATACGACAGCGTCGAGTTCCGCCGGCCGAATTTGTGTAACCCACACGTTGGTTCGTCGAACAATCTGTGAAAGGTTTGGTACAGAATTGCGGCCTTCTCTGACTATCCTCCGCCTATTAAAACCAGGCACAACTATTCTCAATCACCCATCGCAGTCTTCCCCTCAAATTAGCGTCTCATTCAACATCACCGCCACTGATTACTTAATTATCCAACGAACACCACCCATCACCAAGTAAGCTCTCCCTGATTCATCCCATTTGTCTCATTCTTTTTGCTTATATTAGGTGTCTGTGCATTATGAAATTGTTAATTAGAAATATGCCCCCGACGAGATTTTTTTTCTTCTGGATTTGGATTGCAATTTGGTCGACTTTCTGCGTTTAGGGTTTGTACAAGCTGGATAGCTTTCAATCCGAGGAGCTTCTTCATTATTGGTATTCCAAACCATCTAATTGGATTCTGAATCGGGGTTTGTTTGGGGTATCTGTCATCACTTTAGGGTTTGTTGTACTGATCGATTTCCTTCATTGACAGTGAATTGTGGTGGAAGCAATATCGTCGGCCTGCATAGCTTCAGAACTCGACCACATGTGCAGGGTCTAATCCTTCAATCACCTCACCGAGGATTCATGTTAGGAAGGCGTTGATCATTCAGTCGCTGCTTACAGTAAATATTGTGAACCGCCACATCAATGGTCTCCCTCTCAAATTCATTGTAGCATTAATTTGATTACTGACATTCTGGCCATTAACAGCAGACGCCAAGTAAGGTTCCCCTTCGTTATGCATCTTCTTCTTGATGTCCATATACAAAACGGGCTACGAGTAGTGGGTACGACATATTCGGTCTTTCTTGGTTCATTATAGGATGAAAAGATCACTTATAGGTTGAAAAGACTTAGATATGATACCAGTATTGACCACTACATTCCTGTCCTCACCGTGCAGAAGATCTACAAGGGTCCACAAAGTTGTCACAACCAGCCAGCTCTCGAGCGGGTCGCTGAGACTATTTCCACCATGAGTGCTAACCATTCTGATTATTCCTCAGTGAGTTTTACTTCCTTTCCTTGCTGAGGTATGTTATCCTTTTATGCTTCACTTTGGATTGTGTTTTGATTCTTTTGGTAGGCTGTTTATCGTGAGGAGTGCAGAGTCCATTTTTCATAAGAACAAAATGAAGTCGTTCGCTGAGATGTTAGATTGATGTGTATGGTTTTTGATTGGTTTCTCATTTTTTTTGGTTATGGCTGATGTATTCTGAAAGTTACATAACATCACTTTAGTGAGCTTCTAGGTTGAGGGCTTCTTTGATTGCTGATGATATGAAGGAGATAATTATTCAGGTTAGTTCGTGAGAAATAGATTGGGAGTCTTGATCATATTTGCATGAATATTGTTCTTCATTTTGGTCTTTTTTTAATTAGAATTTATGTCTACTTGGAAAGTTCCCCTTAATCAGTAGCTTAAGTCTTTACCCATGATTTAGTAGGACACACATTAAGCTTGCCGAATATTGCAATCTAGGTGATGTGTCTGTCCCAACTACAAACAGTGAAGTAGGTAGGTATCCCCATATACTTATCGAGTAATCCTACCATAAGAATTGAATTTCCTTACTTTCTTTCCTTTTTGAAAACGATAGGCATAACATTTTACACATATACAATAGGTATTAGATTTCATAGTGCCATCACACATGGCCCAGTCCAAAACCATTTGAACAGCTTGCTGTAGTTGAAGTTTCTTTCTTTTGTTATATTCCTTTCTTCTATTATAATATAACAACCTGCTGTAGTGGAAGTACTCTCCCTTTCTTCTGCTGTACTTTGACCCACAGCTTGAGAAAGAATGTGCCTACTATGACTCCTCTCCGTATACTTTCAACTCTCTATCTTTATGCGCTATGTTTGTTTGTAAACCCACTTTACACTTGCTCTCCTTTAATGATACTCTAGAGTCTTGACTTGGTAAGCCTTTTATTATAATCTTTTCTTGAATACGGGCTCTAACAATAGCAATAATACAACAAAATGTCTCAATCCTGCTTTTGTTCATGCTATAGCGATTACAGATGTTAATATTGTCGACAATGTAGTAAAGATATTTGCAGTATCTAGCAGAGTTCGTGTTTTCGATGTGATAGACATTGAATTAGAACTTGATGCTGCTATTAGGTCGAAAAGTTTGGTAAAGGTGAAGAGGAAGTCAGTTGATTGCGATGGTGCCCAGCTGTGTTTGGAAGTTTGAGAGGCAGGTGGAGATGACGACAATGCTTGGGAGAAGGATGTATGAAGTTTCGTTGAGTTTGACTGTTCTGTAAGTCTCCGTAGCTCCCCATATTTCCTTTTATGTAGCTTTTGGTATTTCAATTGCAACTTCTCTTTGCTGGAGGACTAGAAGAAAGAACGAGGAGTCTCCTCTCATCCATGTCCAGTGAACGAGTCCTATCTTAGTGAAGGAAAGCCCAGGTATCATAGATTTCCTTTCTCTGCTTCACTTATGTACTTCACTGAATGTGACCAATTTTTAGCCAAATACCAAATTGACCCCTTTGTGTTTAAAAGAGGTATAGTGGCTCGGGTGGGACTTGGGAGTGGTCTCTTGCTGAGTTTTTTTCAACCTCAAAGCCATTGCTCTTGGGTCCCAGTAGAATAGACTGGGAAGGTTAAAATTGCTATGTTTATTGCTTGAGATTCTCGGTTAAGGATTGTTGTTGGGGTTTATGTTTTGCTTTTTTGTTATGTCACAACTTATCAACGACAAGTTCAGAATCGATGAGAGTCTCTTGACCATTGTCGATGCTATCACTGGTTAGCTTTTGTGTCAATCATATTTGCGTGCCATTGTATCCTGAAATTAGGTTTGCCTTCGTCTTAGTGGTTGCTGATGTTTTGTTATATTTCAACCACCTAGAAGACTGTTGATAGGCTCTCGAACAAGGGTCGGAGAGGTGGATAAGACTTTCTTTTAATATATATGCAAACCTTTATGCTACTTAGTCTCCATTTGATTTCCATGGACTAGCTAGTGAGGGATCCCCGTGTCGGTCAAGTATTTAAGTCAAGATTTGAGCTTTAAGAGAAGAGAGTAACTTCTAATCCCTCAAAGTTTAAGAGTTAAGATTTTAAGATTGGAAATACAAACAACTTCCACTTGTCAAAGTTAAGTGTTTAAGTAAAGTACTCAAGTATTAGAATTATTAAAACGTAAGGGCGTAGTCTGACCCCATCTCACTCACTAGGACTTAGTAAAGGAATAAGCGAGAACTAGATCGATAGTTGCAGCTAGAGGAGCAGTTAGTGAGCAGCAAGATCGAGAAAGCTGTTCGAGGCAAGCCAGCTAGAGGACGATAGTACAAGCGTCACTGGAGGTGCCAGAGATCGAATCCGAGCAGACAACAAAGTAGAGTTTTAGTTATTGATTTACAATTATGAATAGTGACTGGAGATTCAGATTAAGATTCTATGGTTGAGGTTTGCCCAAGTGTTAGGGCTTTGTTTTAAGAGATTTCAGTTCACTTTAGTATTTGTTATGGTTATTTATGGAAAGCTTCCATTTTTTTACAAGTCTTTCGTTTCTTATTTTGGTTTATGAGTCATCAAGGGCATTTTGGTAAAATTAGTACCCGGCCGGATTAGGGTGTTTGATTTTGGTATCAGAGCCGGTCTTCCTTTGTTCCTTGGTTTCCAAAGAATACTGGAATGTTGGTGATAAACCATTAATTACACATGTATATACCCCTATTCTTGAGCCGTTTGAGACGTTGATTATCGTGTTTTAAGTCGATTTCACGCTAGGTTGTGCGTTTATGTCAAATTTCAGGGCTTAGCGTTGGCATCGAGGCGAAGAAACGAGTTTCGGGTCGAAAGGAGCATGTGAGGTTTGAAGTGTGCTGGAGAGCAGAAATACCCGGCCATGAGCAGAAATAACCGGCTGGGTATTATTTGGCCATGACCGGGGATTTGACGCTTCGGGCGTCTTTGAGAAGGGGGCCCGGGCAGGAAACAGAAATCCCCGGTCGGGGATTCTTGGCCATGACCGGGGATTTCCCCTGTTACCCGATGGTGCGTTTTGCACATACCCAGTCGCCGCCCAAAATACCCAACCGGGTATTTAGGCCGGGGATCGCGACAGACAGCTTCTTAAGGGAAAAGAAGGCAAAAAGTGAAGGGTTCCGAGTTTTAGAGAGACAGAGCGATTCCTAGAGAGAGAAAGCGACGAACCAGAGTTCCCAAGTGCCCTAGCTTGATCTTCATCACCATTGGAGCTCGGCTCACACTTGGAGAAGTGTCGATTGACGACCAGGAGCAGAAACCCATCCTTCACAACATTATTTCTGCATCTGGGCTTGCTTTTGCTCCTCTCTCCATGGAGTAACTCCCTCATTCATCTGGGTATGGAGAACCCTAGATTTATATGTTAGGTCTGATTGTATGAACATAGTACAGATTCTATGATTTGATTATATTCAATTGAGGTTTGAATTGTTGAATGACATGAATCCTATTCAAATTCCTGTTATTTCTGCTTAGACCTAGAAAGAGAATATCAGCCTAGGTTGATAGAGCACCCTTGATAGAAGGTGGTGAATTGGCAACTTTAGTCAAGGAGCCAATTCACTATTCTGTACCGAAGTTACTTCGGTAGTGGAGGTTTTGTTCGTTAGGGCCTCAATCTGTTTACTCCGGTGGAGGTTAGTCGCCCGCTGGAGATTCAGATTGAGAGGGTCTGGAGACCTTTAGTCGAGACTTCAGACTGTTTAAGAACCTCCCGCAGTATAATTATAATTGAAATTGAACTTGGTGAATTACAATCCGGCTTAACTGCAGTCTAGGGGGAACATATCCGAGCGACCTCTCTCGACTTGAAAACAACCTTCTTGCTTGCTTTACTTGTTTGCTTGTTTGAACCTGCACTAAAGTTTCACTGCTAAATAATAAGAAATCACTGAGTCATCACATCTAGGACCCAGGTTGACATTAAAACCCAAACCCGCTATACTACGCTTTAGGAAGTGGTTACACTTGGGCATTTTCTAGAGTGACAGTAAGAGTGAGTCAGTCGGTCTCAGTTTTTAAAGGTTTTGTTTTAAAGGAAAGGAAAATGAGTCAAGGATCTTCTTTTAAGAGTCTCTAGAATCTCCAGTTTACTCTAATCGTATTAAGGTAAATAACTATAGTTCTAGAAGAAGAGGTGCAAATTGTAAGGGAATACCTTGAGGATTTTACAACTAGGCAACAAGTGGAGGATCTATCAAGCTAAGAAGAGATGGTAACACGAGGGTGCTATTGGTTTAAGATGAAGTTAGGATGCGACTTAGCTAGCATGTTTTGGTACGTAAACTAAGAGATTAAGGCGTATGGCGATCATCAGTGTGAAAGGAAGAAGGCAAGAAACGTGGCCTACTCAAGTCGAATCTCAAGACATGAGGCAGATTTTGGAAGGTAGGAGGTCCTTGGTGACCTACGTGGTCATCATTGGACCAAGATCTAGGTTCAATGAGGTTAATACCTTACAACGAGAAGTATAGGGCGTCATTAGCAACAATGAGGATTTGAGGATACTTGACCCTAAGCGGCAAGGAGGAAACGAAGCAGAAAATGAAGAGGCACCACAAAAAAAACCACTAGATTGGTTTTAGTGACCGATGTTATTACAACCCGGTGATAAGGAGTAGGGGAAAGTTAAACCTTAAGCAACGATAGGTTCGTCTGAGTAAAGCGAAGGAGGAAATACGGGGGTTATAAGGAGTCCAAAAGGAGGTCAAAAAGTCATTAAGTCAGGGCGGAGAGGAGAGGAGGCATGGTCATCTACATATGATGATAAAGGAACCCTTATAGACAAACTACCTCACTAGAGAAGAGGGTACATGACCCTGGGGAGTTAGGCTGATAGCAAGCCTTTAAAAGGAACAAGACAAGCAACGAGATAAATGATGAAGGGGTTGAGGTTAGATCAGGCATGTTATACACCTGTCAAGCGCAAGCTAGAGGACAAGGTATGAGAAGGGGTTGAGAGACCCTACAAATTACCATGATCAAGGAGAATCAGAAAATCGTGGAATTTCAAGGAATCCATTGGGAAAGTCTAAAGTGGGAACTAGAGGGCCAAGAGCGGGAGTCTCAAAACCAGCCGTAGGAGTAAATCATTCAATCAACCGGGTATAGACAAGCAAGTACAACGTTCATTAGAAGTTCTAATGAAAGTTGGAGAATTCGAGAAAGAGTCTAAACGGTCGTAATGAAGAGAGTTTGCGAACAATACCAAGAAAGAGCAAAAAGGTCAGAGGGAGTTTGACGAGATTTCAAGAAGTCAATGGGTCAAGTCTCAGGTGACTCAAGGTCATGAAGCTGCACAAAGAGGTACGATGAGGGAAAGCATTACCGAGAAAGAGGAAAAAGAGAAGTTACCTCATCATCATCCACCGCCGCCGAGTCCCACCTTGGAGCACTACTACACTCCACGGGTTGCTGATATTGGCCTTGTCATCCTCTACCCCTCCATTCCAGCGAACAACTTCGAGATCAAGCCATGTTGGATTCAACTCATTACATCATCAGTCCACTTTCATGGCTTGAAGGATGAGGAGGCAAGAGTGCACCTGTCCCGTTTCCTGCAGCTGACGAACGGGTTCAAGCTGAACGGTGTTCCGGATGTTGCAATCCGCCTTCACCTCTTTCCCCATTCTGTGGCGGGGCATGCTAAGAGGTGGTTGGAGACCCAACCCCCATTGTCCATCACTTCCTGGGACGATCTGGCCGACAAGTTCATGCACAGATACTATCCGGCATCAAAGACCACAGAGATCCAACGGGAGAATACTCACTTCCGCCAGGAGCCAGACGAGTCACTTCGTGATGCATGGGAGCGGTACATGGGATTTTTCTGGCAGTGTCCCCATCACGGCTTCAGTGATGCATTCACAGTGGGGAACTTCTATAGTGCTCTCTCTCCGGAAAGCCAAAGGGTGATTGAGTCTCTATGCCCAGGAGGGGATATTCTTACTAAGACTCCACCCAAACTGAACTAGATGATTAGTACATTGGCTGCCAGAGATCATTCCTGGGGGCAGAGCAGCAGATGCAGGAATTCTCGGGACTGTGGTGTGCACGACATGGAGACCAGGTCCGGGCTCGAGCAGCAGGTGGCTGAGTTAGTGCAGGCATTGAAGCAGCCCAACAGTCTTATTCCGGGCAGAGGTCTGGGCGGACCTCCAGTAGCTCAATGTCAGTGGTGTGAGAGCTCAAATCATGTGGTGGAAGACTGCCAGGCTATGCGGGAGTCTTCTACCCCCCAAGAACAGTTGGACTTAATCGCCAATGCTCGGCGCCTTGACCCGTACAACAACACATACAATGATGGGTGGCGCCAACATCCCAACTTCTCTTGGAATGGCAACACCACCAAACCACCTGGTTTCCCAGCACCAACAGTAGGTTTTCAGTAGAGGCAGCCTTTCCAGGCTAGACAGGGGCCAGTCCCACAGCAGCAGCCTTACCAGCCTAGGCAGGGGCAACCATTTCAGCAGCCCCAGCGTCAGTATGCCGAGCCAACAGCAACTCTAGCTCCAGATAATCAGATGACGAAGCTGAAAAACATTCTAGCGGCATTCATGACTACCATCCATGCGAATTTCACGAGGACGGACCAGAACATAGCCTCACTGGAGGCAGGCCAGAGGAACCAGGGTGCCATTTTGCAAGATTTACAAAACCAGGTTGGTGACATAGCTCGCCAAATTAATACCTGGGCCCGGGGAACTCTACCTGCCACAACCATCCCCAATCCACGGGAGCCGCACCAACAGCTGAATGCCATCACCACTAGGAGTGGCAAGTCCACATCGGCGGTACCTGCCCAGGCTAGGGAGGAAGAGCCACTGCCTGCTTCAGCATTTCCAGCCGATGATGTAGAAGTGAGGGTGGAGAAGGAAGCCCCTGCTCCCAAGCCACAACCAGTGGTTAAGGAGCATGTACCCCAGCTTCCCTTCCCCACTCGACTACACAAAGATAAGCTGGAGACTGAGTTTGCCAAGTTCATGGCAATGTTGAAGCAGCTCAACGTCAGCATACCTTTCATGGAGGCACTGTCGAAGATGCCCAAGTACGCAAAGTTCATGAAGGATCTCCTCAGCAACAAGAAGAAACTTGGGGATCTTTCGACGGTGATGCTGAGTGAGGAGTGTTCTGCCATCTTGCAGAACAAGCTGCCAGAAAAGCGCAAAGACCCAGGGAGTTTCACTATCCCTCTTAATATTGGCAGCATGCATGTAGGGAAGTCCTTGACGGACCTAGGCGCTAGCATAAATGTCATGCCATACGATCTATTTAAAAAGCTAGACCTATGTGAACTTAGCCCTGCTAGGATGAGCATTCAGTTAGCTGATCGCTCTATTGTGCATCCTAGGGGTATCATAGAGGATCTGCTTGTTAAAGTAAGTGCATTCACGTATCCTGTTGATTTTGTTGTTCTGGATATAAATTAGGATGTGGATGTGGATGGTCATCTACATATGACGATAAAGGAACCCTTATGGCCAAACTACCTCACTAAAGAAGAGGGTACATGACCCTGGGGAGTTAGGCTGATAGCAAGCCTTTAAAAGGAACAAGACAAGCACCGAGATAAATGATGTAGAGGTTGAGGTTAGATGAGGCATGCTATACACCTGTCAAGCGCAAGCTAGAGGACAAGGTATGAGAAGGGGTTGAGAGACCCTGCAAATTACCATGATCAAGGAGAATCAGAAAATCGTGGAATTTCAAGGAATCCATTGGGAAAGTCTAAAGTGGGTACTAGAGGGCCAAGAGCGGGAGTCTCAGAACCAGCCGTAGGAGTAATTCATTCAATCAACCGGGTATAGACAAGCAAGTACAACGTTCATTAGAAGTTCTAATGAAAATTGGAGAATTCGAGGAAGAGTCTAAACGGTCGTAATGAAGAGAGTTTGCGAACAATACCAAGGAAGTGCAAAAAGGCCAGAGGGAGTTTGACGAGATTTCAAGAAGTCAATGGATCAAGTCTCAGGTGACTCGAGGCCAAGAAGCTACACAAAGAGGTACGATGAGGGAAAGAATTACCGAAAAGGAGGAAAAAGAGAAGTAACCTTATCCAAGGTGCCCCACTCTAAGTGGGTGCGGCATGGTAGGAGGGCTCTAGAGGAGACAACTAGTTAAGGATGAAACAGGCACGCTTAGTTAAGCCACTAAGAATCCTAACTAAGAGACTAAGTTTATGTACAAGATCGATCAACAAAAGAGACATGGAATGAGTTATGTTAAAGGTTACCAAGGGCAAGCCACCATTGGAAGTTGTGACCTAAAACAACCAACGAGAAGATACTCAACAGAGGTTGGTGACCAAATATAGTTCAAGCAACAACAGAAGAGTTTTAGTTTGGTGGTAGTAAAAGTAAAGAAGCAAGAAGAACACCGTGGGAAGTTATAGAGAAAAAAAATGGTTGGCATCAACCTGGCGAT